GTTGTAGTTGAAGAAACTGTCTTTTACATCTGGGACTAATCTTCCTTCTAAGGTGGCCATGGATGGTGTGGCATCAAAAGGCATGCAGGTGTCTTAGAGTGGTTTTTAAAACCTTTAGCAGTGCCTCTGTAGCACACAATAGAAAAAATACTAACACTTCCATTTTTAAGCGGTTAAAAACATAAACAGGTAATTCAGAGAAAAAGGAATAAAAAGTTGACAATGAATATATTAAAATGTTTAAGTTCACTAATGATCAAAGACATCTGTAAAGGTAAAACCGGAACTCCATACACTCTAGCTGAATTTGTAAATATTGAAAAATACAACTAATTTTAGTGTAGGAATGACAAATCAGGCATTCCTGCTGACAAGACTAGAAAGGAGGAACCTTTCTGACAGCAATTTGGCAATAATTTTAGACATTTTATACCCTTTGGATAGTAATTTACATTCTTTGAATACATCAAAGAAAAATAATCAGATACATAAGCATGGTGACATGTAGACATAGCTATAAAAAATCTCCGTTACAGTAATGTTTATAATAGTGAAAAACTTGACCACAACCTAAATGTCTAATAAGGAAATTGGTAAATAAAGGATGGTTCATCAATATGATAGAATATTATATAGATATTTAAACTATGTTTTCAAAATTTGTAACAGTATGGGAAAATGGGGTATAAAACTTTGCAAGTAGATTCTTCCACATTAGGTAAATAAAGGCATAGATAAAAGAAGGTTAAAATGAAATACACTAAAAAATCAACAGAAGTATCTCTGGAGGGTGAAATTATAGGTAAATTTGTAATTGTCTGTATTTCCAAACTTTTGAAATTGGGCATATATAACTTTTATCATTATGTGCTCTACTCACTACCATGTTATCCCAGCATTCTAGCAGATGGTAGGGTGACTCATGGCTGGACCCTTAGCTGTCCACTCTGCATGCTGGACAATGTGAAGAATGTGTGTACCACAAGAGATCCCAGGCCTCAAGGGGTGTAACACATACAGAGATAAACAATGCTAATATTCATCTTAAGGGGGTTGTCAGAGCCTATTGTGGAGGATGCTGAGAAGGGCAGGGGTGCTGACCTGACCTACCATATTTCCCCATTCAGCTGCTGAATGTTGGCTGCAGACAGCTCACAGCTGAGTCCCTCTCCAGGCAATATATAATTATGATCTGCACAGAGCCTTGCACATAGTAGGTACACAATAAACTAACTTCAGTAACAGATGCACAAAATAAGCAGTAAATGCTACGACAATATGACACGGACAAGAATCCTACGGCCTGGAGGAAAGAAAAGAACACAATTCAGGGAAGGGTCCACAGAGCAGCTGGTACTTTAACTGGAGCTTAAAGGAGAGGCCAACTGTGTGCACCTGTGGAGGAGAGGGGAGGGGAGGATCTATGGTAGACATGTATTTCTCATGGGTATCCCAGAGATACTTACTGTGACTTCATTGGCGTGGTAGTTCCTATGTGCTCATTTCAAGCCACGTTAGAGCCTCCCTAAATGATTATCGTTTTGCTGGAGCAGCAAGAAACAAATGGAGGCACAGGACTGTTGGGCCACCCAGCAAGTAGCATTTGCTGTTCAAGACAAGAACAATGGCCTCTGCATGTCCATCCCTCGGTCAGGATTCCATCTGAGTGCTGACTGTGGTGGATTCTGAGGGGCCAGTCTTACTGAATTCCCTTCACTGATACCACACTTCACATGTAGCCAGCACTTCCAGATACAGCCTCTTGCTTAATCTCCTACCATCCCATGTAGTCTTCTCAGCTTACAGTAAAGAAAATGGAGGCTGACTAGAGTGAAAGGGTATGTTTAAACTCAGAACTGTCTAGTGATAAAAACCAAAGCTTCAGTTTAATCTAGTGCTTTTCCCCTAATGCAAGATTAAGCTGTGATACCTTCCTGGAAAAATACTCTTCTCAAAAAATGTTGCCTATCTCCTCCTTTTTGCATTAAAATAAACAAATGAACCCATCCAATCCTGTACACATCTCTCTTGTTTTGAGGTCACTATGTACTTCAGTATTTTGGGGTGTCAGATAATAACACAAGTGAAGTATAAAACATGGTAGTTAAGGATTTTCAAAAGGAGTGATCAGAATTCACTCCATACATATATTAATGCTCCTTAGTCAATTCCCCTTTAGTTCCACCAAATTTCCATAGAAATCTGTGAAACAGAAAAGAGTAAGAGTTATTGAGAGAGAACTGCAACATAACCTGAGTGGGTTTGTCTGGACACTAAAGTCTGCTCTGAGCTTCCAGGTCACTAGGGGAAAGTCAACAAGTATTTATTGGAAGCTACTAAAAAAAATATGATACTCAGTGATTAGTGGAGATTTTCATATAATCTGCAAGGATTTTTATAAGCAAACCATTGTAGATAATAATGAAGCAAGAATTTTCTATTAGAAAACAACTCTCTCATTGCCAGTATATAAATATATATATACACACACACACACAGACGCACAGACACATATATATCCTAAGGCAATTAGAAGCCAAAATGGAATCGGCCTCTTATATAGTCAACCTTGTGCAACAACAAGGCAAGAAGTGGTGAGAAGACAGGGCATATTCTAGTAAGTGGGCTTAATATTTTTAGTGAAATTTACCAAAATTCATAAGGCTGTATTAGTTTATTTTCTGTTGCTATCATTGAATACCTGAGACTGCATCGCTTATAAAGAAAAGAAATTTATTTCTTACAATCTGGAGGCTGGGAAGTCCAAAAGCATGGTGCTGGCCTCTGGTAGGGCCTTCGTGCTGTGTAGAAGGCATCACATGGAGAGTGGCCAAGACTATCTCTGTCAGCTCAGGCATCTCTTCTTCTTATAAAGCCACCAGTCACATCATTGGGGCCCCACTGTGACGACTTTATCTAACCCTAACAACCCCCCAAGGCCCCACTTCTAGTCAACATAAGAATTTGGGGGTTATATTTCCAACACATGAAATTTAGGGAGTGCATTCAAACCATAGCACTGTCTAAGAAATCTAAAATACTCATTTAAAGATGGAAAAGTTGAAGCTAGGAGAAGAGACTTGGCCCAGATATATTTGGATAACTGTAGCTTTAGTATCTACACCAACATTCTTGAGGAACTCATCAAGTATTGACAAAAAAGGTTCTACATGATCCATTGTTTTAAAAAAGAGACAGAGTCTCACAGTGTTGCCCAGGGTGAAGTGCAGCAGCTATTCACAGGCATGATTCTAGCACATTGCAGCCTCCAAGTCCTGGGCTCAAGTGATCCTCTGGCCTCAGACTCCCAAATAGCTGGGACTATAGGCACACACCATGTACCCAGCCATGATCCATTTTTATGAATAAAAAACTTGTGGGTTTTACATGAACATTCAAATATTTCACTTGCTAGAAAGATGATGAAGAATTTAGTTTCTTAGCTGTATGAAGGTTTCTGCCCGCCTGGCCTGATTTACTCTGTTAATCTGTCCACTATATGTTTCTTTGCAGATAATATAATGGTGAGTGCCTGCCTCCTTCCCAGATATTAATATATTTTTCTAAATTCTGAATTAACAAGATCCTAAACATAAAGGGATTTGTCAGTAGAATTCGGTTTTTGGTTTGTTAAGGTTTGCAGGGGTTTTTTGAGATTTTTTGTTTGTTTGTTTGTTGTTGCTGTTGTTTAATCCAGGGGTTCTCTTTTTCTCATCTTATTTAACCCTAGATAAGAAGAAGTTAAAAAAAAATCCTGCATACAGCTACTGTCACAAAGCCAGTGAATCAAAAACCTCCCCCAAAGCCTATATCCCTCCTCTGAGTGGTTGGCCTGAATTTCTAGAGTTAAAAGATTTCTTTCTCTGGGTCCTTTGAAATAACCATAATTAACACTTATGTAGAGGCTTATCATACAATGGTATCATATAAAACAGGAGTCAGCAAACTATGTCCTGCAGGAGATTAGCAGTTGCAACAGAGACCATATGTCCCATAAAGCCAAAAAGATTTACTGGTTGGCTCCTTACATAAAGTTTGTCATGCCCTGACATTCACGATGACATCGATCCTCAGAAGCACCTACCTAGAAGCCGCTTCTTGTTTTGATAGCCACAAGGACTTCAATATGAACAAGTATTCGAGATGACTTCTGAAACACTAGCTGCAAAGGATAACAATTTAGGGGTGGAAGGTGGAAAGGGGCAGGGGACGGTAGAGAGGAGGATTAGAAATTTAACCCCAATAAAGAAAATTAGCCACATGGAGAGAAAACAGAGAAAAAACTCAAAGCTCTCCTACTGAACAGGACGCCCAAATGCCGGACTGTTGTTCCACATGCCTCTCCCCTTTCCCATGTTCCCCCTAAATTTTCTCATGCTTATACAGCGGTGTGTTGAAGCCAGCTTCTGTGCTCATGAGAGGCAACCGTGTGCGTCCTGTTCTGGCTCCACGTTCAGTGACATCACATTGGTGGTTTGACATCAGCCATGATAGAAGTATTTATACCACAAAAATCAGCAAAAGCTACAAATCAGGGCTTTTCTCCCCCGCTCCCTCCCCACAGGGCTGACTGTTAAACATTTCCTACCACACCATGGCAGATACATACATACATACATACGTACATACATAACATAATTTCAAATAAATGGCACTATGTCATACATGATATTTCCCTCTTCAGCTGCTGAATGTTGGCTGCAGACAGCTCACAGCTGAGTCTCTCTCCAGGAATTGCCTTAAGCTGAAGGCAACTGCCACATCTCAGGTCTGCTTCCCTCCCTGGGGCAACCCCCTTGCAACTACTCCTCAAGGGCAAGGTAAAAAGTGAAAAGGCCAGACCCATCTCAGTGCAGAGCAACTCCAGCTCCAAAGCTCCCCCTGGGTTCAGCTGGGACTTCTGTTGCAATTGCATAAGAGAGAGAGGGAGTGAGAGAGAGACAGAGACAGAGAGAGAGAGAGACAGAGAGAGACAGAGAAGAGAGACCCATTTGTCCACAACCAACTTCTCTCTTCATCTCCTTTCTTGAGTTACCTATTTCAGTTCATTTTTGATTTGCTTAAGGTTCTTTCTATAGTATTTTTCTCAGATGGGATACTGGATGATACACTTTTTTCTTTTCAGTGACTTTATTTTAATGGGTTTTCAGACTTACAGAAAGGGGCTCTTTAGATGGTACTGTGTCACTGGTCAACCATTTTCACTATGGAGTCCTAGTCACTCTGATTTTGTTTTGTAGATCACGAGGATTCATTCAAATCGTCTCCTCTACTGTTCCTTCATAATAGGTTACGTGGTCTGAAAGTACATCCCTCCTTCTCTAGTACATTGTATTAAAAGAGGTTGCTGCTGCTTCTCCATTGTCATTAATCTTTTCATCTTCTTATTCCTTTTAGCAAAGTCGGGGCATAACATATTATCTTCTATGCCTGGCGATGGGAAAATGCAGGCAGGTAACAAGAAGAGAGAAATCATCCTCCTGTGAGTGGTAGGCACCCAGGCCTGACCTGCATGAAACTGCAGGCGTACCCAGCCCTTTGTGTCTGCTGAGAGACATCTGCCATGGACCACACAGCACCTGACACCAGAGGCTTGCATCGAAAAAGCCTCAACAGAAACAGGAATGGAACATGAATTCACAGCCTTCGGCTGAACAGCTCTTGCAGCAATTCTTGCCCATGATGCCAACATGGTTCCCTGCGCTGAAATTATCACTTCAACTGTATTAGTCTCTTCTGTTCTTTCATTCGTCTCATAACTTTTCTGAAGCCTCTTGCTCTCTCGGTCACTGCCTTGTGTTTCTTCGAACATCGCTGTAATCTGGTCTCTTGTGACGTTTCAGGCATATCTTGCTGTTGTTCAGGATAAGCATGCCTGCGGAGCCTCAGATAAACTTCTATTTTCTTGCCATTGGTACTCAAACCAAGTTGTTGACACCAGTCCCGCGAAGTGTCCCGACACACCTTACTAATGGGAGGCAAAGTGGCCGGCAAGGGAAGGGCTGGTATTTTGCATCCAGCCTTTGGCGGAGCTGTAAATTGTTCATTTGTTTGAAGTAGATGACCTTGATTGTATTTCTTAGGCTTCTCCAGTGTGACAGTAGAAGTTGAAGAAACACTTGGGTTCCGTTGGTTCCATATTTGGGTCATCTTTAACTGGCATCCATGTCAAAATCACACTTTCCTCATCAGCTACTTCCCCCCTCAAAGAAATTCTTCTTGCTGCTATCCAGATTTGAGTCTGACATATTCAGCAACACCCCTGTCTTGTCCATTCGGTGATACGATTTTAAAAAATCAGGCTGTGTTCGATGGCTCATGCCTGTAATCCCAGCACTCTGGGAGACCCAGGCAGGTGGATTGCTTGAGTCCAGGAGTTCAAGACCATCTTGGGAAACATGGCAAGACCCCTGTCTCTACCAAAAAAATACAAAACGTAGGCAGGCGTTGTGGCACGTGCCTGTAATCCCACCTACTCGGGAGGGTGTAACTTTTTTTTTTTTTAAACCCTGGCCAGCAAAAGGTATTTCAGCTGACTCAAGTATTTTGTAGATATCGTTCCCCTCTCTCCAGCTTCCCATTATTGTAGGTGAGAAGTGTGACACTGTCTCTTTTCTGTTTCTTGGTAATTAATGTTTTTTTCTTTGTAGTAAAGGGTGCAAAAGTTTCTCTTTTTACCTGCTCTTCAATAATTTAATTTGGATGGGTTTAGGTATGTGACTTTCAGGAACCCCACGAGTTCTTCTTAAACCTCTGACCCAAGTCCTTTTCACTCAAAGAAGTTACCTTCTATCATTTGTTTAATGATTCTCTCTTTCCTGTGTTCATTTTTGTCTTTCTCTTATAACTCCTATTAGGTCTACTGGATCGAGCCTCCTAGTCTCCTCTTTTGCCCTTATGATTTCCATCTCTGTGTTTTTGTTCTGTATTTGGGATATTCTTGCACTTGGCCTTCTCAGTCTGCTTTAATGTGTCCAATGAGCATTTTAGTCAAAGCTCCAGGAAGTCTGTGTTTCTTTGTTTTTGTTTGTTTGTTTGTTTGGGATACTGCAGTTGAATGTCCTTCTTACACTTCTGCCCTGGCTGTCTATTCCGGCAGTGTGATTTCCATGAAGGGCCGTTCGGCGGATGCTTCCTCTCCCTCTCTCTGCCCACTGAGGCCCTGTAGGTGCAGAGTTGTTTTTTTGTATCTGTTCTTTGAAGTTCAAGGCCAGCTTCTGGGGGTTCTTTCAGTGATCACAGTCCTGTGAGTGGTGGGAGGGACGGCCCCTGTGGGACATCAGTGTAGCTGGATATAAGGGGTCAGTCCCAATTAAGGCATGGGAAGGAAGGAGGCCTCTCAGTCCCACCACGTCCCCATGTTCAGCTTCTCCTCAGCAACCTGGAACCAGGAAAGCCCATTCATGAATGTCAAGGTAGCCCTTTCCATGGGTCCACGAGTCTAAAGGAACCAAGTGCAGGGCTCTCCACAATTACAGCCTCTCCCCAAGCTTTCCACCCACTGATCCACAGGGGAGAAATCTCCTCCTCGGCTCTCTTCACCAGACCAAAATTTGAGTAGAGGGCAGACAGGGCACCATCTAATGAAAATCTCTATCTCAGCTCAACCCTTTCAAAGAAATCCAGGACACCCTGGATCCACGGTCCCTGGCGAATGCCTCCTTAACTTCTGAGATGGTTTAACTCTTTGTTCTCCACATCTGATTTCTTTGGATGAGCCCTTCAAAGTTATGTGCATTAATGACAGATCCTTGAATAAGTAGATTCACTTTAAAATTGTGTTCATTGGGGAAAAAAACTGGGTGAAAAGGGCGAGATTACAAAGCGTGTGTGTGTGTGTGTGTGTGTGTCTATCCCCCACACACGGATATATTACATATACTCAGAAAAATGTTGGCATGGACAAACACCAAATTGTCACCTGTAGATGATGAAGTTATAAGTACTTTTATTGTCCGCCTTTTTCTTATCTAACTTGTGTACTATTTCTTGTTTATGAAACATAAAAGAGCCTGTTCAATTGTTAATTCAGCAAAATGCATTATAAAATGTCATTTGACTTTTACAGGTATTTTCAGAGGGTGTGAGGAGTGAGAAGGCAAACAACCCTCCACCTCTCCGTCTCAATGTCTGCCAGTGAGAGCCCACCTTGAGAGCCCCATGCTCTCAGCAGGCTCGCCAGGCTGTTGGTAACCTGTAGAGAAAAGGAGGACCACAGGCAGAAGCTTCCTGCCCAGAGTCACCCAGGACAGCCCCCGCCCAAAGACGGACCCCAGCCTGGAATTGGCTCCAGAAGCAAAGGTTAGACCCCTCTGATTTGAGTCTAGTCCTGGCTCAAAGAGGCTGGACAGTCTTTCAGAGCAGACCCATTTCCAGGTGCCCACTGAGTCTCCAGCACCAGGCACCGGCACTTAGCAGCCACTCGGGAAACTGGTTGAATGAATGCTCTCACGGCCTCTCAGTTCACTTGATAAAATCAGACATATTAGTAGCTGTCATTGCTTACTCTTTGGATTTGCAATTCCCTCTAGGTGAGGGGTCAAAATTTGAGTTGTATAGGAAGATTTCAGCTCAACAAAAGGATTCACACTTTGATTTGTTTAGGAAGATTTCAGCTCCTGCTGGTTCACACAAGAGGCTTCCTTTCAAAGAGCTGAATTCCCTATCAGTGGACATGACCTAGAAGGGGCTGGCTATCTCCTGCCAGAGGCGATATGGAGGGGTTCCGTGCTGGCTATGAAAAGAGTCCAGATGTGCTCTAAGCATTCCTCTAATTCAAACTCTATGACAAATGCAATTCCTGGTTCAGAAATCTTATGCAAATTTGCCTCTTCCTTCCAAAAATATTCTTTAACCCTGATGTCATTCCTGTACCTACTAAAACTCTCCTTTGAGGCAGCCAACTGTGATTCAAGGGAAAGGTTGAGTGTGTCCTTGTAACAACCATGAGAGCAGCAGGCCTCCCTGACCCAAGAAAGCCTCCCTGGGGCACCCTGGACGGGCCTGGGATCAGTTAAGGAGAGTTTTACAGAACTGTGTCCCTGGACTGTTCCACGGGTATTCGAAAGAACAAATCCCAAGGAAGATATATGGTAGGACAGGTGATATTTAAAGTATTAACCAGAGATACAGAAGCACTAGCCACTCAGAAATGTGGTGACACCAGAGACAAGACACAGAGCAGGATCTGCAGGTCCTCTGCATCTGCTTGTTGGATTGTGAGGAGGTTCCAGGGTCGGGCCTGGGCAGCCAGTGCAGCAGGGTTGTGCTTGAGAAGCTAAGAGCAGCAGCCAGTTACCAACCGGTTCAGAAGGCTTTCAACAGTTGAAGAACCAGAGTGGCCACACCAGCTAGAAATCAGCCCTGCTCTCCAACCACTTCTGAACAGGCTGACCTTCTGGCAGAGGCTGCAGCCCCGTTCCTGCAAGCCACATTTTATGGAGTTCTTTTATTAGTCTCTCATGTAAGCCATAGCCACATCATAAAATTAAACACCCCATTCTGTACATCAAGTCCACTGACTTCTTGAGCCCTGATTAGCACTGGGCTTTTCCCTCTTGGAGTTCTATTAAAGTAACATCATAACAGACAGAAAAGGAGTCTTTGCTGGGAGCAGCCAAATCCGCAGACTGACTGAGCTTCTGCTGGAGTCAGCATGTGGCACGGCGTGTCCTCCTTTATCGGAAGCACGTTTGCCAGCTTCCTATCCATCACTCTCTGCCTCCTTCATTCCTGCCCCTCCCCATCCTTCTGCAGTCATCCCTGCCCCCTCCCAAGCTCCTTCCGTCTCCTAAGATGACTTAATGCCATGAGTGGTTAAATGCCTGCCTGGAGTCACTGTCAGGGTAGCCCCAACTCACCCCTGAGACTATATTTAGCCTGTGGGTGATCGCCCAGTTGGAGAGGTTATCTTTAGCCTGGCAGAGGTTGGGAGTCAATCTGGGCCATGATGTGAACAGCAGAGGGAGGAGGGAAAGGAAAGGAAACCAATACTCCAGAGTCTGCAACAGCAGCACTCAAGTGTACTCAGGTGGTGGAGAGCTAAAAGCCGAAGTGTGCTTCCTGAAACATGAGGCTCTTCCGGGAACACCCTGGAATAATGGTCTGTTTCATTCCATCCCGTGAACTAAGAACAATTTTAATAGAAGAAAATATGGCTGCATTATGAGCAGGCAGTATAAAACCACAAGCACACATGTTTAAAAAAAAAAAAAAAGCCACAAACTCAGCATCATTGGTGGTTTTCAAGCGTTCCCATTCATATCTTTTTACTACTTCTTCATTAGTTTTGTTGCCTGCAGGTGCTAAAGGTTTAAAATGGAAGAAAAATGCATGGAAAGAATGTACATGGAAAAATTACATTACCTGAGTTAGGGAAAAGACCACCACTATTCGATTTTCAAGGTGGAACACCTCAGTCCACCTCAGGAACACCAAGGGCTGAGCTTGAAAAGCTCCCGGACCTGTTTCCAAACTATTCAAGAAAGACCGTGCACTTTTCCTCAGGGCACGGAAGTAACTTTCCTTAACATCATCCCTCCCTTCCAGTCACTAACTCTTCCCTGTTATTGTTTATATCCACGGCCTCTTGGTTGACCTTCCTTACAGAACAAATGATTAGAATCTTTTGTCAAAACAACTGAATACTTGCTAGTTATGATTAGAGGGAATGTAGGTCCCAGTGTGAACCAAGGCCAAGGAGCCTCCAGGGGTGGGGAGGGACTTGCTCTGTGGGGAAGGAGACCCGCCAGGCCCTTCCCTGAGTCAAACAGTCCTGCTCATTGGAGGGGAAGAGCAGTTCATGCTGAGAAATCCTCGGCCAGACATACCCGAGTTCTGCGAAGAGCAGCAGGACCAAAGGGGAAATTCGGAAGGATCATCTTGTGGAGGTCTTTCAGGAAATCAGAGCACAGATGGTAGAGCTTTGGAACTGAAAGCTCACACAGAAGGAAGAGGATTGAAGAATCTTTTTTTTTTCCCCAGATTCCTCACAGCTTTCACTCCATAGTGCCGGAGGGTGTCCAGCAGGAGCAGGCCCCTGGGAACTCCTAGGACAACTCAGAGGCAGTCCAGATGGCTGGGAGTCCTTTGCTATGGGCAGGCTCCGGGTACAGGGCTCCTCAGAAGGTCATCCCTACTCTGGTGGTAAGGCCTGGGGAAACTCAAGTTACTTTACCGTGTACTTCAGTAAGTGAGTTATCTCAGCCTTTTCTTCCCTAGATTGAATGATGCTCGTTCCATCAACTGGTTTACTAAGCAC